ATGCTTGACAGCAGAAATAGATATGGTGGCAGTACTCCGTGGATGAATTATTACAAAAGAAGCTCTACTACTACTAAAAATAATTACACCGTGGGAAGAACTTGGAACTAGTGATAATCGTAATGGTTTTTCGTCTAATTTGGAAGGCAGAACAGGAACCTATTTAGACCTAAAATGAAAAAAATAACAGACCACATTTTTTCATAAAAATGGAAGATAATTTATTTGCTATTCCGCGAACCTAGAGAAAACACCTACGCTATTTTTCTCACCCTCCTTCCGCATAAAATTAGTAAAATATATAACACAAGCTTAAGTGCAGTCACAAATATCACCACCAAAAACCGACACTTGTTTCGAGTTTCTCCAGGGCATCCTCAGGGTATCTTGATTGTTCGACACTCGGCCAAAGAATGAGCTTGTTCAGAACGGTTGGTCATTTATGTATTTAACCTTCACTGGATTCGTGGAATAGCAAGTTAACTTTACTTCCATTTTTATTATTAATATGGATTGGAAAGTAACGCTACAATGTATTAATATTATTTATTTTGGTGATTTTACTTGTGTTCTGCTAAATCAACCGGTGTGTGTATAAGATTACGAATTCGTTTTGATATGTTAATTTTGCCATTATGATTTTTCAAAAATGACAACATCCTGGCGTATTTCTCGTAACACCATTATTGTAAAATCTTAGATAAGCACACGTCGGCTCTCTGGTCGAGCCCGTTGGCGATGAATTCGGCATATCGTTTAATTGCATCTATGTATTTATCATAATGCTGCTGGTTATCTTTTGATTATATCATACAATGAAACCAATACCGTCACTAAACGAGAAAGTCAAGAAATGGCGTTTAAAGTTTCTGAAATTAAATTTAAATTTGAAATTTTTTTCGTTTTTCTTTTCAGTTTGTACTGTCAAAATATTGCCGACCTAAATAAAGTCAAGTCAAATAATCTTTATTTCATAGGTAAGCAAATTACACTTGAAACCGTCATACCGATTACCCTCTCTTCTCTACTGCTCATTCGTAGGGCAGATTCCCCCGAGAAGAACGAGCAAGAAAGTCTAGGGGTTGCTCTTTGTAAGTATACATTTGAATACATTTATCGTTACAATATTTAATTTAAACATCTTAGATCGAGACTACCTGTAAGAGCTAAACGGGTCACTATCACGGTTTTTGTCATCCAAGTACGCCGAAGCTGTATAACCTTTAATATAAAATTTTTGTTTCACTATAGTTTTAAACCTCTTAAATGGCAAATTTTGAATATCAATTGGAATCTTATTATTATCGAAGCGTATACTCTTCCATTGCTCTTTAAATGAATTTGAGACTTTGTGAAGACAACTATCAAGAACAGCTTGTTCATTTTTATTCTATTTTTCATAAAAAAAAATATTTTTCTTAACATAAATAACATTTTCATAAATGTACTGTGACGTCAGTATAAGAATGTTAATCTCTTTAAACTTATCTCTCAAAGACACTGTCGTGAGAACTTACTTTAGACTTTAAGAGTTTCATGGTTGTACATTAAATGATTATCACTAGTTACAGGATTCTTGCCACGGCATGACTTCGAAATCGATATGAGGGTAGTCGTCAACAACGAAAGAGGGTAGACAGATATGTCTGTTCTATCTGTTGCTGACCAAACAGTTGTTTGGCCTGTGGTCAGTATTTTCATGTAGATACTTATGCTACAATGTATACACTATACACATGTAGTCCAATCAGTGATAAAAACCAAATAATAAAATAGATTAATAATAATACATCGTTACTAGCTCGTACTAAAAATAAAAATAAAATTACAATTTTGTACGAAATATCCAATCCATTAAAGGAATTAAATAATAATTACTGCATTTCTACATAATAATTGCAATTTGTAATTTCATTCAGAAGTTTCAGAATAGACATTCAACTAAAGAGCTTGTAACCGATCCAAAATGTCGGAAAATAATAAGAAATCATATTGTGGTAAGAACATGAAATTGGAATAATTAATGCTTAATTTTCAGTAGAAAAGACTACAGAAGTAAATGAAAAGAAAATATAAATGCAGAACATGCAAGTCTGCTAAATTTACTAATTCAACGTAGTGTACTTTTAATGGCTGCGAATGACTACAATAAACTTTCGAGTGAATTATGTAAAATTTAAGACACCATTGTTTAATTACCTTAATCATATGACATTCTACAAAATTTGATGTTTTAAAAAAATTGATATTTTATTCGTTTTATTATTTTTATTTTTTCAACTAGACAAACATTAAATTTATTGTTATATTTTATATTGGGTTTTTGTACTGATTAGAGTCGAAACTTGGGTTTCGAGCTGCGCATTCGCAACTGCAACGTTAATTGCTGCGATGTGATTTCGTGCGGCATCTTCATTACCACGGTTCGGGTAACCATTCTTACGACGATCATCAACCGTGCTGAAAGTATTTTTTAAACTAGGTAGCGACATGGATCGTAAAAAGAGTGTTACACTGCTGTTATTGATAAGAAAAGATAGGAAACGAAGGTTAACATCGCAGGAATGTGCGATGCGGAGCAATTCGCAAATTCTTACGATGCGTCGTGCAAGCTCGTAGATTTCAACGTTTCCGTGTTGTCAACGATCCTCATGTAACTGAGCATGCGGAGTCGTTACAGCTTCGCAGAGATATAGCGTCTCTTAGCGTATTCTATCGCCTGTACCACGGTGAGTGCTCTGAAGAGTTATTCAACCTTATCCCTTCCTCTCCTTTCCATCAGCGGACCACCCGTGCCGGACTGCGTTGCCACAGATGGACGGTCAGTTCAATACCGTCCCGCACTAAAAAGTTTGGCAATTCGTTTTTATGCCGAACCATCAAATTGTGGAACCAACTCCCGGCGCATGTATTCCCTCCCCTCTATAACATCGGGTCCTTCAAACGTAGTGTGAAGAAGCATTTGGCCAGACCGGGAAAATGATAGTGACGGAGTGAAGATATTTGTGTTTTCCATCCGTTACTCTCATCTCTGGACTGTATTCGCACTTTCCATCAGGCGCGGTGCAGTCATTTTGCCGAGTCACAATAAAAAAATAAAAAAATAAAAAAAATTTCTGCGATGCGACGTCGCGTCGTACATTCTTATGACGCTTTTATAACCTGTATATCACAAAAAGTAGATGAATTTGAATAATACTCTTTGGACTTACTAGTTCTATTGATGATTCTAGCAGCCCTGCAGATGAAGTCAACGGTACCCGAGGCCTCCATATTGGCATCTTTAAGCTGGTATGCCACTGAGCCATACGTGGTGAGGCCTACTCCAAGTCCAAGGCCCGCTCGCTCACTGTACTTCGCTTGTTCCCCGCACAGTCTGCGTTGTTCATCGCCTGACACCTGAGACAGATTAAACTCCATTATAAGCTATATTGCCTTTTTCAGTCTTTTTTATGTCCAATTACAGTGTCGCTCAAATCTCTAAACCCGTCGCCCTGAGAGATACAGGTCTAAAGATCCATGTACCTGTAGTTTCACCTCTACATTGACCCTTCAAAACCAGAACGCAATAATGCTGACTTTGCTGCTTGGCAGTAGAAATTGGTGACGTGGCAGTACTTCTCTTGACTAGAAACTCACATGTAATTTCATCAACATTATACATACTGTCAAAGACAAAATGTAGGCCCGTAGCAACGACTCTTTGATACAGTACAAATATTGGAAAAATAAATAGCTGCCCCAAAGCCTTTGAACGATTTTTTTTTCATGTAAAAAAAGCAATAGATGTTAGATAGGGTACCAATCAACCAATATAATACATTGATGTCACAAAAATGACTACAACTTATTACATTACATATTTTATACCCGTTAGTAACTTTGAAAATTTAATACATAAGTAAATTTACACTATTTATCATAATACCTGTCTTGCTGACTGGGTATGAAATATTTTATGCTTGGTTAAATATAATTGTGTTCACTTGGATCAGAATGTTTGGTTGAAACCCCGAAATCAGGAATATTTATATAAAATTGGGTTGGTAACTTGGAACTTGTTGACATTGTACCCGACCTGACCGCAACGATGAACACACAAATGAAATGAATATTTTCTTCTTTAATTTGCAATCTTCAATTGCTATAGTATAGAAAGGGGCACTTCCTTTTTATATAAAACAGATATTTTATTAAAAGGGATCAAAATTGAACTTGCTACAATCACACCGCACTCGTGTGTCTTCTTGCGCTTCTTTAGTTTATAATATTTACTATTCCAGCCTTTGTACACACTTTCGCAAGTCATCTCTGAAGGTGAACCAACCTGAATATTACCCAAATGGATATGTCAGTGTATGACATTTCAACAATAACTCATAGTCACAATAAATTGACCGCATGCCCTGCGAGTTCAGCATATGACCCACAGGTGATCCTCGTCAACGCTGCTGGATTATATATGGCAGAGAACTTGTTTTAAAAGTGCTTATGAATTACAAATAAATTTGGTGGGAAGAAATTGAAAAAAGATCTCTACGAATTAGTTTTATCCCCTAACCTTTTAAAGCCACTTGGTAACCCGTCGTATCCCCATAAGAACCTAAATTAAAGATATAAATGAAAGTTTTAGTTTTTGTTACAAACATCGTTACATTTTAAATTTTAATTGAATTGATATTCAATTATTTTTGTGAAATTATTCCACTAGTATGTTATAATCATTAATACAAAGATCGAACACTCAGAAAACATTCCTTCGATCAGGCCGGATTCGAACCGACGTCGTCTAGCTTACCGTGCCAGACGCTGTACCAACTAAGCCACGGAACGAACCAGCGGACCTCACGAATGTTTCTATGTGCTTGCGTCGTATCTTTGTATTTGGTTTTTTCAACGACTTTTTAGTCGTAGCGCCATCTATGATCTTTGTATTAATATTTGTAACAAATTAGTGGAAAAATTTCACAAAAAGAATTGAATATCAAATCAATAAAAATTTAAAAATGGCGACATCTCTCGCCAGGACTGGTAACTGTAAAGATATCTAACTGGGTGACAAAAGTTTCAAAGATTTCTCATAGATGCCGCTACGACTATAAAGTCGTTGAAAAAACCAAATACAAAGATACGACGCAAGCACTTAGAAAAATTCATTAGGTCCATTGGTTCGTTCCGTGGCTTAGTTGGTATAGCGTCTCACACGGTAAGCTAGAAGACGTCGGTTCGGATCCTGCCGGATCGAAGGAATTTTTCTGAGTGTTCGATCTTTGTATTAATAATTATGGATTCATTTTACAAATTTCTATCACCACAATAATCTGAATGAAGAGTTTACGAAAAACATTGAAAGTAAATGCTATCGATTTCCTGTCGTCGTATCGAATTCGTCGCTAATAATTTATGAGGCCATTAGCAACCGAAACATTATTTATCATCGTCACATATACTTTCATCGGGAAATGTGAAGCTTCAAGGAATATCAAATTATGGATATTAAATAAGGTATATCAAATGTATCCTGGAAATGTGACTCGAAATATACTGAGGAATAAATCATTTTGACCTAAATGATATGTTTTAAATTTAGAAACTGATAAGACGTCAGTGACTGCTTTTTTGTGTAATACTCGATTGACCGCGCATATGGGCATTGTTACAAGAATAAAGCCCATGGCAAGACTCACGAAGTGGCATCTGAAAGATTTTTATAGTTCTTTCATCTTTTTTACGATACCAAGTGACGGGACGGACAAGTTGTGCGCCTGGTGGTAAGCGACACGCCTGTCCTTAACAGCTGCAGTGCCACTCAAATCTTCAAATCACAAAGATTGAGGGGCACTACCATTGCGCCCGTGACCCTGAGACATAAGTTGACATGTGCTTGTCATTTCACCAGCACCCTTACCCTTGAAAACCGGAACGCAGTAATGCTTACATTACTGCTTGGTCGAAATCGGTAAGGTAGTGCTTCCCTAGACGAACTTTTTCACAAGGAGCTCTACTGCTATAAAAATTTACCGGAACTTCGGGAGCTTGTGGTGATATTAGGGTTACTTTACCACGCGACTGTGTTTACTGAACGATTTACTGTAAAAGCAGACTTGTGTTCATAACACGATAATTTATTTCAGCAATGGAGTACCCAAGGTGAATCAATGTAACGGTCCTATGCTTTTAGTTTCCATTCAACTATGCTGCAAATTTAACAAATCGCTAGTAGTAGTAGTTACGTTACTTTTTTCGAATTTGTCTCTATGATACGACTCAATCAAATTGTTTACAACTTACCTGGCTTACTGAACTTGATGCTCTTCTAGAACCAGCGTCCGAGAGAGCTCCTGTGCCACTTTGTCTTCCAGCTAAAGAGGCTCGATACGGTGATACACTTCGGCCTTTTGTTGCTGCCCAAGTAACAAACAAAAAATATAATACCGACAATTTATTTTAATGTAAGACGGACTGAAGTACACATTTCAAAGTCAATCAAATGAAACGAAATGGAAATTTGTTCACAAACAACAAAGGGCACGAAATACAAAAAGGTTTTTTCAATTATTACATGGCTTGATCACACACTTTTCCTATTACCGTTTTTACTTCTAAATTATTGATAAAATGAGAAATATCGGAAAATAAGGCGTATCCTTACACTCGAAGAGAAAATGGCGTGGTTTGTTTTATACTTACCGGATTGACTGTCTTCACTAGCTCGCCTTTCTCTTGTCAACGGCTCCTGGAACGTTAGCGTCAAACTGCCTCTCGGACTGACTCTTGGCGCGTCTGGACCATCAGCAACCAAACTTCCTCTAGCACTTCTTTCTAAAGGCGCAATACTTCCCCTAGGACTCCTTTGAGAATCAGGCACCAGCGAGCCTCGTGGACTTCTGTTTATAGGAAATCGTTCTTCGGAACCTTCTTTCATTTTCAATGGCGCATCAGGTCCTATACTCCCTCGTGGACTCGTTCTCGGGCTCGGACCTAATTCCTTTTGAGTTCTAGCTGGATCAATCTGTATACTCGCTACGGAATGCCTCGGACTTCGGCCCACGTCAGGAACTAAGGAATTTCTAGGCTGATTCCAAGATGTTCCATCAGGAACCAAACTTCTTCTTGGACTCCTCGCTGAAACATCTGGAGTTATACTGTTTCTTGGACTTCGGTTAAAATCCTGAGGGTTCAGGCTTAATCTTGATCCGTATGACATGTCAACAGCTAAATTATTCCTAGACGGTGTTAACGTGTTTCTTATGTTATGGGCTGCGTCTGGTGTGATGGAATTTCTGGCTGACCTGGTTTCTGGCGTTAGTGAATATCGTGGACTGCGGTGATAGCCATCTAGTGCTGCATCTGGGGCAAGACTGGCCCGAGGACTTCTTTGTGGTGGGGGTATCGGTTCACATTCTTCGTCAGTTTCTGTGGTTGCTAATGACGCCCTACGTGAAGTTTGAATTGAAGCCCTCGGAGATCTTGCTTGAGGAGAAGTCGCCGCACTGCGGGATGCCCTGCGGCGACGCTGTGACGACGACGTCCGATGCAACATTTTGACTAATCCCCACTATGTCAAATCTTCATCCTAGATCTGAAACAAGGAAAACATATATAGACTTGTCGTAAGCTATGCAGGTATATATTACTCTAATGCCTATTTACACCGGGGCAATTCCACCCACGAGAAGAAATTTATACGAAAACTTTGTAAATCCAGTTGTAGAGCCGCAATTTCAAGTTCTTTGTTTAGGCGTTTGACTATAAATTTGCAAAGCATTACTCGAGAAAGGTCGATCGTAACATTCCAAATTTATCAGAGTCTCAGGTGATTTTGTGAAATATTATAAGGTATTTGTTTTCTTGTGTTGGTATTATTTGGCTTTACATGATTGTAACGGAGAGATTGATGATGCCGAAAGTGTTAGCTCTTAGCTATTTATAGACTAATCAATCTGTGATTATCTCTGAAATTTGTTAAAAAACTGGCAACTTATTTTATTGAATATCATAATGTTTTTACTACCACAATATTCATCTATATTTCGTGAATATACTTCACTAGTTTGTTATTATTATTGATGTAAGAATCGAACAAACACAAAAAAAATCCTTCAATCCGGCTGGACTCAAATTAGCGATTGTTGCCTCAACGTGGTTACCGCTCTGTCACCTGAGCTTCGTGACTGAGACAAAAAACTTTCATAATTTCTCACAGATGGCACTACGGAAAAAAAAAGACATATAAATCCAATATAAAAATCCGCAACAGGCATATTGAGAAATTCGTAAAACCTTCTAACTTCATCCGTAGCGCAGGAGGTAGAGCGGTAGCCACGTTGAGACAACAATGTCTGGTTCGAGTGCTTTGATATTTATTATTAATTATATTTCAATATTTTCATGGTTACTAGCGAAACCATTATTACAGAACTGAGACAAAGGAGCGTAAAATGACTCTAAAATGTCGGGAGAAGAAAAAAGTAATAACATGATGTACCTAGCCAGAGAAATTCGTTTACATGTTAATTATATCAATATTTATTACTAAACTAACGCTCTCTAAAGCTTATTACGTATTAAGTAATCTATGCTACTACTACGTGTTTGAACGCGAGCCTAGATTTTAGGCGCACTTAAAATTAATATGAATAAAATAAGAAAAGACCGAGAAAAGCAAGATGACGAAAGTTGACCCAAAATCAACGAAGAGCCGTTCATGGACTTTGCTAGTATAATTTTACTTTTTAGTTTGTACCTTGTTATTAATATATTTTTGTATATTTTTAGAAGTCGGGAATAAAGAAATTGTAAAACAATGTATTTTAGAATAAATGCAAGAACATAACGCATTTGATTCAGTTCGACTATAGGTTACGTAACTTTATTTTAAACTTTCACGATTGTTACACATTATTTGATTCGGGACTTAATCACGTATAAAACACATTTTATTTTATGTACCTCGACGTTTCGGACATATTGCAACGCCCATGGCCTCGAAGGGACTGAAGAGGCGAGTGTCAGCATCTTCTAGCCGTGCCAGTTTTTCTAACTACCCGCACTTGATCTTCATTATTTATTTGTGCACTAGAGTTCTCACTAGACCGACACACAACACTCACGACATCCGGCGACTTGTCGGGCGATACTTGATGTCGTTTACACTTGCTAATAACTGGATCGCATGACGATGAAAGCTTAAAACCATCTTCTCTCTTGAAATTACGGTGCTTTTAATTTAAGAAAGCTAAAGGGAAACGTCCTGTTTTAAGGCAACCAGCGTTCGTGCCTTGCGTGAAAGGAATAACGGACCAAATCGGTACAGTACTAAAAAAGTACTCTATAAAAACTGTGTTTACACCATCATCTAAGGTCACGGGGCATATCATATCACCTAAGGATATAATCCCCTTTCCCCCTTCTTCTAATCTCCGGACGTTTACAAGATTGATTGCAGTTGTGGGAGTTCCTATATTGGGCAGACATACACCATAGACAACGCACCATAGCGGAAAGAGTTAAAGAACACATCGCGGCTGTTAAGAACCGTCAGCTCAATAAGTCTACAATAGCCGGGCATTTGCTGGAATCAGGACCAAACCACTGGATTGAGGTTCATAATCCCAAGATCCTTTCTACAGAACGTCATCACTATAGTAGAATCGTACGTGAAGCTATTGAATTTAAAAAACACCGTAATTTCAACCGAGAAGATGGTTAAATTTTTATTCATTTACATGGCGACAGAACATGTTAAAGTTGTCTTAAATGTGGCAGAGTTTGGCAGATGTAGGAATATTTAGCAAGTTGTTTATTATTTTTAGGAATAAACTGAAAACTTGTTGTTTTCTGCTACTACGAACAAACATCTGAAGCGCAATACAGGTCAATGTTATAAACATAACTTATATCAAGTTTGTAACCCCAGCTTCTACAGGCTGTACTTACTTAGCTTTTTTGATACTTTGATAATGAATCACAAGTATTGGTAGGTCTCTTTAACGCACGTCGTCAAAAACACTGGGTCACAAAATACACGAGATATCGCCATCCTTCTTTGACACAAATCCGACAGTGGCAGTACTTTCCTGGACAAACTCTTTCGCAAGGAGTTCTTTTGTTACTTAAAACTTATGCTTCAATAGTCTGTTCAATTCAGTATACGTACAACCAATCAGAAAATGATCGTTCCTGTCTCCGGGCAATACAGAAGGAATATTATTTTCAACGTAAACAATCTAAGAGCCTCCTGTAAAAAGTCCTAAACAAAGGTATCCAATTCCTTTATCGCTGTGGCATAGATATCAGATACGATAAATGTTATCCCCCTCACGAGTTGCGAATAACACGAGAAAATAAAGCCCCTTAATCGCCTCGGCGCAACTTAAGGTATCGAATTTCACTTGAGAATTGTTGTATACAAAGAAAATCTGCTAAGGTTCACCATGTTTTATTTCATTTCAAGGAAGTCAATGGATCTTTGGAAGTAGGTCAGAACCAAAAAAAAACATTAAATAGGTTAACTAAAAGAGACTCATGTATGGTTTCATTGTCATTCATTAAGGTTTGCTGGTGTAAGCACTACAAGGCAGGTTTCGACCAGTTCACTAACTCAAGCAGGCAGAAATACCCGGTGTTCTCTAAATATTCAAAATAATCAAAATCCCATGAGACCGCCAACCTTTTGTATCAAATACATATATCAAGGGGATTGAACTTATCCATAAAATAAAGCCCGCGCGCGGCCGACCAGAATATCATCGTGTTGATATCCATCAACATTGCAGCACGTGATGTTCAAGCATTGAACCAAGCGCCGCGTACCTTGAGTTGATGAAGAGTTTTGCTTAATCGAAAAACGAGTGATACACTGGTTGGCACAGTTTCGCCAGACATCCGCAGAACTGTTGCGGGCTCTTGCCAAAGGGCCAATATAGCTATCGACTTTCGGCACCCCATGCACGATTACTTCACAGTGCAACAGACGGAAGAGCCGGTAAAGTTTTGTCAATTATGTCGATCCTCTGAGCATTGAGCCAGCTCAGGAGAGGAGCAATCTTTGGCGATAAACAGTACCGTCTACCTTTGTCCCACCTTCTGAGAATCTCAGAAGCCGATCTGGAAGTTTCAGACTCAGGTTGGTTGGAGTATGGACAATTTGTTCATTGCGAAATTTTTGGATGGTTTTAACCTGAGCTAGAATATTGTCGCCATCGATACAATAAGAAGACTAAACATTCACAAATATATGTAACTTACGAATATGTTGCTACGGGGATTCGAATCATCTACCTCTCAGTGGGGTAGCAACCCACTGGATTACAATCGCTCGCTAGACAAATTAGTTCTCAGTTATCGTTCCCATCAAAATCTTAACGTTCTATTCAGAATTACATCCACAGCTGTCTCAACATTCAACGATAATGTCTCTCACGCCTGTCATAGCTTTGAAGACGTGGGTGGAACTTTGGGAATTCACCACTTGAATTCCAATTATGTTTTACAGTCGCTTCGATAGTGAACGATGTTATAAATGAAATAGTTGATTATATGTAGAGATATTTCTATTCTAACTACTCTATATGTAGATACTATATCAAATTGATGTTACAGCCTCAGCAATAAGTTAAGTTATACGTGGTTATTTGTAAAATGCTTACAACCTTGCAGGACTATACAGGGTGTAAATTGGAGACGGGGCAGCAAGGCCAGCTGTTAATTTCCTTAACTACCTAGAATACCTGATGACTAGATATGTCCCTACAAAATGTAGGGTAAAAAGTTTTTTGCGATTTCTGACATTTCGAGTACTCTTACCTCAGCTGGTCCCATAGAGACTATTGATCCTTACCAGAGACCGGATCCAATGGCATAAAAAAAGTTTTGTACAAATTGCCTTTTATTTTGCTGACTGTACCATTTTTTCAAAATCTGTGAATGCCAATCAAAATATCTTCAAAATTCATAGATAGTCTTCTAGAACCGTTTTCCTGTAACTACAACGATTAAGGTAGCTGGCCTTGCTGCCCCGCCTCAAATTTACACCCTGTACACTAACACCATAGACAACAACTTTCGTTCCATGACTTTAATTAATTTACCAAAAGTATAAATGGCTAAAAAGTCGTTGAAAAACCAAATAATAATAATAATAATATAGTAGCTTAGTTGGTATAGCGTCTGCCACGGTATGCTAGAAGACGTCCGTTCGAATCCGGCCGAAACTTTTCAGTTTTTATTGTACTATCTGATACTTTTTAGATCTGCATTTGGTAGTAAGGTTAGTAAGTTCAAACGTGCAAGCGTCCTCCCTGACACTCCCCACGTGTGTTTTGCATCAGACTGGTATTTCGCGAGATCTATTGAAATATCTTTACTTTTTATGAAATTAAAACCTAATAAATTGTTAAAAGTTATGGAACAAAAGGTTGTTAAAAAAAATTATGATGTTAATAACAATCCAAAAAATATCCCTGTATTGATGTATGTATATAACCTGTTTCTACCATTCAGCAGTAATGTGAACATTACGGTTAGAAGGGTAAGGGTGCA